CATAGCCGATCTGTGGCTCGGCTGCTGCTCTGTGGCCTCTGTTCTTGGGACACTCTCCCCTCATGTGGTGCCCACCAGCTCTGGTCTACATCTTTCCAAATCCAAATGGAGTGGAAAAGAACACACACACACACACACACACACACAGTCATTGCCTGGCTCTGGTTGAGATACATGCCTATGTCTGAACCCACCATGTAGTCAAGGGGACCTGAGCCCTGATTGGCCGCGCCCAGGTTGAGTGCTTCTGGGTGGAGATGGCTCTGCATGAACCTCAGACTCGGAGGGTGCAGAGGCATGGGGCCTCCGTTAGCAGAGGGGGCCACAGATGCGATTGCCCATCGAAGCTTGTCACACGTACACACCAGAATAGGGCACTCTGCCCTCCTACAAATATTCTTAAGTCAACAGGCCAGCCCAGACCATTGTCTATCAACCCAAAGTCAAAATTCTCAAGAGATGCAGCCCAGCCTGCATGAGCTGTTCGTCCCTGGTTCAGTATCCACCAGGGAACAGGCTCATGCAGTACAAGTGTGGCTGCCAGGGCCAGTTCTGAGGGGAAGGAGGTTGTGAGCAAGGAGGACACTTCCAAAATGCCTAGCAGTCTTATTCTGGACTTGTTAAAATGTACATTCCCGGGCTTACAAGCCTCCCTGGGGATTCTTATGCACGGTCAAATTTAAGAACCGCCAAGTTTGGATCTTTCTAAAGCAGCATTATACAAACTCTAGTTGTCATCACCTATCCTATATAATAAAAGGTAATATGCAAATTGACCCTAATAGCAGAATGACCAGAACAACCGCTGGACCAGTCACTCTGAGGCGCACTGACTACCTTTTGGTCTGATTGCCTGATGGCCACCTGCGGCGGGGGCGGGGCAGGCAAGCGGGCAGGAACAGGTGACCTCTTGGTCCCTTCCCCTGGCCGTCAGGCACTGATCATCCAATGGTGAACGGGGAACTGGGGATGGGTGGCAGCGAGGGATGGGGCCGAGTACAAACGCGCACTCATACACACACACACACACACACACACACACACTCACAGAGACTGACACTATCTGAGGTCAAGGGGAGGGTCCTTGTGGGGTTCTTTTGTCTTCAGAACGTTGAAATATCACCCTACACATATTAGTGCTGTCGCTCTAATTGGGGCGTCTTTGCTGTTGGCTGCCTGACTTTGGGGAAGGTTCCACTCCTCTGGCCTCAGGGTCCTCGGTGAACCGGCAGCGGCCGGGCTGAGTCACCCTAAGCCCTCCCGAGACACAGTGGTTATTTAGAGTGTCGCTTTGTCCCCATCTGTGTTGCTATCAGTCCCCTCCGCAGGCTTCAGTTCTGCCATGAGGTCCTGTGATGGCCAGGCCATGTGTGGGTCACCGTTGAGGCCCCAGGCCCTGAACGAACGCTCCACAAGGGCAGTGGATGGCCTACTGACGTGGTTCCTGCCCCAACCGGTTCTATGAGACCCTGAGCAAGTCATGGCACCTCTTTGCACCTCTGTTTTCTCAGCTGCAAAATGGGCAACAACACCCCTGTCACAGCATGAGTCTCAGTTCACACACCCAGTTTGCAGGAAATGCCATTTTGTTTTTCTGCAATTGGACATAATTTCTAATTTAAACTCCTTTCCTGCCAAATGGCAGAAATCATCTCAAGCCAATTGAGGGTTCCTTTGCCCTTTGTTGGTGGGCGGCATCTCAGGTCCAGGGGGCTTGTACAATGCCAAGGCACTGAGGAGGGGCACCCTCGTGTCCCCTGGCATCGCTCTGTGCCCATCAATGTGGCTAAAGACCTGACATCATCAGTCATTATCACGTAGTTCTGGGCATCTGATAGAACCGGCGGCCTCAACAGGAGGGACAGCACTTTCCTGCCTCTCGTACAAAAGAATCTGAGGTAGACAGTCCCGGGGCTGGTCTGGCTCAGCCACAGTGTCTCCCTGTCAGGTCCCTCTGTCACCTGCCTTTGCTGTGGTTCCAGCTACCTCGTTCTCAGCCTCGAGGGAGGAAGGAAAAAGGGAATAGCCCTGCCCTTCTTTTAAAGGGCATTTCCTGGGTGTGGCACAGGACATTCCCACTTAAAGTCCATTGGCCAGAACGTAGACACAGGACCACACGCAGCTGCAAAGAAGGCTGGGAAATGTAGTCTTTATTCTTGGAAGACATAAATTCTGCTAAAAATCAGGGTTCCCTTACTGAGGAGGAGGGGGAGAATGGACGTGGGGAGACAGGTAGCCTAGTGCTCAGAGGCACAGGTCTCCACTGCTCTCAGAATTTCTGTCACCTCCCCCTGCTCAGGACCTCAGCTTGAGGATGGGCCGGTGCTTGGGGAAAGGGAGATGGGAGGAGGAGGAATAGAAAGAATATAGTTCTCTGCCCCTTCCCACACCCCCAGGACAAAATAGAGGCTAAACTCTTCTTTATTAAAAATATACTTTATGATGAAACATTTCCAACCTACAGTCAAGAATAAAAGACAAGATGGTGAAGATTTGTGTACTGGGCAGCCACTTTTATCAAATCTTTCCATTTTCATAGTTGCTTTAGATTTTAGGATATTAAATATTACAGGTACGAGTAGAAGTCCCCCGTTTTCTTGCCAATCTCTTTTCCCACTTCTCACCTCAGAGGTGTTACATCCTGAACTCAGTGTTTATCAGCCCCTTCTGTCTTTTACTCTTAATACAAATTTATGTGTAATAAATGTTACAAAATATTGTTTTTCAGGTTTTGAACTTGATGTCAATAGCTTCTTACTGTATGATTCATTGTGCCACTTGCTTTTTTGCTCTCGGCACTGTCTTTGAGAAGTAGCCACGAAAAGATTGTATCTCCACCTCTGTCATTCATCATGGCTGGGCCAGATGTGTGGTTTATGGCTGTGGCATATGTCTATACCACAGTGTGCTTCTATATTTTGATAAATGGTTAGGTTTTTGCAATTTTTGCTATTAAATAATGTTGCAATCGGGGAATTTGTACGTGTCTCTTTGTGCACACACACGAGTGTCTCTAAGTCAGTGGTTCTGAGAATGTGGTCCCTGGACCAGCAGTATTAGCATCACCTGGGAACCTGTTGGAAATGCAGACTCTCAGGCACCACCTCAGACCTACAGAGTCAGACCCTCCAGGGTGGAACCCCGCGATCTGTGTTGCAACAAGCCCTCTAAGAGGTGCTGAAGCCTGCTCGAGCTTGAGAACCACTGCTCTGGGTTTTATAGCAGAAGCACGTCCTCAAATTTACTAGATGCTGCCAGATTTTTCTCCAGAGGATGGAAGTTTCCTCTCATCCTTGCTAGCCCTTGGTGTCATCAGAGCTTACGGTCTTTGCCAATTGGGTGGGAGGTCTGGGCACTGTTCACTTCTCAGTTGTCCCTTTCTGGCCCTGGAAGTTCCTCTTACATCACACCTTCTCTCTGCCCTCGGGTCCTGCCAGGTCTATCGTTTTGGAAACACACAAACCTTTACTTGGCTCCTTGTGGCAGTTTCTCTTCTCAGGAGCATCAGTGTGTACCTCCATATGAGCCTGCTGGGTCAGTCAGGGGTCTCAGATGTCAGCAATAGCAATGGAGTTATCAGCAGGATGTGTGGGCTCCCAGAGTTCAAAGAGCTGCTTTTGGTCACATGACCATATCTAGTTGCAAGGGAAGCTGGGAAATGTAGTCATTTGACTGGTAGCTATGTGCTTAGTTCATATCCCAATGAGACAACATATATGGTTTGACCATCTCTCTCCCTTTCCCTCACCCTCCACCCTGGTCTGGATGGCAGTGGGCACTGGTCTGGGGGGCAACTGCACAGGCTGCGTCATCTGCTCAGAGGAGAACGGCTGCTCCACCTGCCAGCAGAGGCTCTTCCTGTTCATCCGCCGAGAAGGTATCCGCCAGTACGGCAAGTGTGTGCATGACTGTCCCCACGGCTATTTCGGCGTCCGTGGCCAGGAGGTGAACAGGTGCAGAAGTACGTGGCTCCTCCCTTGTCCTGTGCTAGTGTTGGGCTCCTGGGCACCTCTGGCTCCTATCCTCTCTGGTACCCCAACAGCCACAGGGGAAGTGGGTGTATGCCTGAACCCAGACTCAGATGCTTGCTTGGTTTCAGGTGGCTCGAAAGCCCTCGGCAAGTCAGTGCCTTCTCTGGTATAAGCAGGAGGCCTTCATCTCTACCCTAGTTTTGCTGTGTGGCCTTGGGCATGTTACTCACCCTCTGAGCCTAGCTCACATGAGAAAAGGAGTCCCAGCTCCTAACTCTCTTTTTGCTGTGACCTGGGACAATCACGACCACCTCTGAGCCTTGACGGAAATGGAGCAGGGAGTCCTCACTCCTGGCCCAGATTTGCTGTGTCACTTGCCTTTTCTTTGCTCCAATGAGAAAGGGAAGCTTGAGCTTTAAACACAAATAACCATGCTACCTTGGACATGTTACCTGCCCCTGCTGAGCCTCAGCTCAAATGAGAGAGGGAGTTCCCCTTGAATGCAACCCAGTTTGACCTTGGACAAGTCTGGGCTTCAAAGGAGACACTGAATCCTGACCCAGGGCTGCAGGGCCTGGGGCTGCTCAGAGGCCCTCCCACCTCAGGCAGTCCCAAAATGCCCTCCTCCTGGGCAGCTGCCCTCACCAGGGGTGGCCCTGGCTCTATTACAGGATGTGGGACCACGTGTGAGAGCTGCTTCAGCCAGGACTTCTGCATCCAGTGCAAGCGGCGGTTTTACCTGTACAAGGGAAAGTGTCTGCCCACCTGCCCACTGGGCACCGCAGCCCAGCACAGCACGCGGGAATGCCAGGGTGAGTGGGGGCCTCCTCATCCTGCCCATTGCCCTTCCGCCCTGCAGCAGAGGCTGGTGAGGGTGTCAGGAGACCTGGAAGAAGTGTCACGTGGATGGCAGGCCCCACGCACCATGTCAGGTATACACAGGAGTCATTCAACATGCTAAAACCACCATTATGATTATTATTGCGGCCATCATTACTATTACCAAGGGAGGCAGCTGAGTACAGAAGAGCACTGATTTTGGAATAAGACAGACCTGGGTTCCAATCCCAACTCTAAAATTTACCCATTTGTGACCTTGAGCAAGTTATTTAAGCTCCCTATCCCTCAATTTCTTCAAACATTAAAAATTTTTACCATAGAACATAGAGCCTACTTCATGGGAGAGGGTTGTTATAAGGATCAAATTAATAAAATTGGAAGCACTTAATACAGTGACTAGTATACAGTAAGTGCTCAATACATGTCACTATTATTACTGCTGTTTTCCCCGCTGCTCCTTTTCAGACGCCTTTGTGAGTTCTTCCTCTGGGATCTGTCCTCACTTGAGACTGGCTGTTCCCAGTGCTCTCACCTGAATCGCATATCTCTGCCCACACATTCCCTCTGGGCTCGTGTTCACGGTCGTTCCGAAAGCTGGTGGCGCCTGACTCACTGTCCCTGGCCACATCCCTCCCTGAGCACCAGACCACAGCCGCTCCTGCCCTCTACGTGTTTCCGTCCCTCCGTCCCATCCCCAGCCTGGCGCTTTCTCTGTCCTTAACCAGCTCCATGGCCCATGCTGGCCACGCTGGAGATATGGGCATCACTGGTGACTCTCCTCTCTCAGCCTACATCCAATCCAATCTGCTCATTCGTTTGCCAAGAAATATTTACTAGGGTATCTGCTATGTGCCAGGCACTTCCGAGGTGCTGGGGACATATTAGTGAACAAAATAGATAATGCCTCCGCCCTTGTGGATGTAACATTGTGCGGGGAGACAGAAGAGTCACACAAGAATAAATACAGATGTCAGGTGGCAAAAACCCCACAAACTTTGGGGGGGGGCGGGGAATGAAGCAGAATAAAGGCCCCCAACCGCTCTACCCCCCCCCCCAACCCTCTTCTCCCCACACTCTGCCCATCACTGGGATCATGGCCACCGCCTCCTGGCTGTCTCCCTGCCTCAGGTCTCCCTGCCTCCGGCCCATGCTGGCTCTCGTCCGGGCAGCCAGAGAGATTATTTCAAAATGGCAGTTTGATCAGGTTTCCCTTCTGCTCAAGGCCCGTCAGTGGCTCCCACTGTCCTCAGGGAGAGCCCTCCCAGGCCCTGTGCAATCTGGCCCCCATCTGCCAGCCTCTCCACCCATCACTGTTTTCTCTCCACTTGAGTTTATACTCCAACTTCCCCACTTCCCGGCTGGTGTCAAGCTGAGTCCTGCAGAAGATCTGCAGGGGCTCCTTCCATCTGGAGCACTTCTTCTTCCTGTCCCTCCCTGAGCCTGGCTAACCTCTCCCTCCACTGTAAGACCCCGGTCAGTCGGAGTCTCCTGCTTCAGGAAGCCTTCCCAGTCCCCCAGGCTGGGGCCTGCGCCCCCTCTATGCTCCCACAGCGTCCTGGCTCCTCCCTTTACTGCGCGAGCACCCTGTCCTTCCAGCCTGACTTCTCCAGAGGCAGACCCGGGGGTGCCTTGTCCCTGCTGCACCTCAGCACCAGCACCGCCCCTGACACGCAGTAGGTGCTCGTCTTTGCCAGCCCAGTGAATGCACCCAGCAGAAGGACATTGTTCTAAGGTCTGGAGACCTGGTTCTGGGCCCAACAGGATCTTAAACCTCCTGTGTTCTCTTGTGCGAGACCCTTCTCTCTTCCCTTAGCCAGTCCCTTCCCTGCTCTGAGCCTCAGTGCCCTAAGCTGCCAAATGGCGGTGTTAATAGCCCCCCATTCTCTGCTACCTCTCAAGGACTCTGAAAAGCATCAACTGTGAAAGAATAGATATATTGAAATTACTCCCTACTAAGACCTTTTATGTCCATGACTTCATTTTCCCTCCAACAGCTCTGAGTAGCTTCCACCTTCTGCAGCTGATCAAAGCCATGTGATCAAGTTCAAAACCCATGTCCTGGCCCTGAGGGCCATTCAGCCAACCCTCTGGCCTCTCCTTCTGCCCCTCCCCTCCCAGACCCTCACTCCACCCCCCACCCCCCCAGCTGCTCTGTCCCTCAAACATGGTTTTCCAGGCCCTGGGGCTGTGTGGGAGTCAGGCATGTGCTTGCTGCCATCGCCACCCAATGCACCACTGTCTCCCCTTAGCTTCTGTGTCGCCTCCTCAGGGAAGCCTTCCTCTTTAAAGCCAGATAGTTGGCCCCTCTGGCGTCTGGCCCACGATGGTCTGTGCACGCTCCAGAAGAGCCTTCGTCCCAGGCTCTCGTCCCAGGCTCTCAGAAGCACGATTTAGATGTCTCCCTCTACTCCTGTCCGGCCTGAGTCCCCGCATGTAGAGATGGGGCCGCAGGCAGTCGACCCACCCTCACCCTGCCCTTAGATCTGAGGGACACTCCCTGCCAACTGATTCCATCGGTCTGTCTGTCTGTCTGTCTTTCCCCCCACCCCACAGAGGAGTGTGAGCTGGGCCCCTGGGGCAGCTGGAGCCCCTGCATGCATCACGGGAAGACCTGTGGCTCAGGCTGGGGCCTGGAAACCCGGGTACGAGAAGCCGGCCACGCGGAACAGGAGGAAGCAGCAACCTGCCAGGTGCTGTCTGAGTCGAGGAAATGTGCCATCCGGAGGCCCTGCCCAGGAGGTGAGCTCCAGACCAGGCCCACAGGGCTGCAGCGGGAAGGGCCCAGGGGCACCCTGAGCGGCCTTGGGACGCTGGTCTCCCAGAGAGTACAGGTCAGGACCTGAGCGTCCGCCATTAGCCATGACTTCATGCGAGTGAGCATTGCCCTCCAGGTGTCCCTTCAAAGGAGGGTCTGTCGTCTGCCCTCCTGGGGGTCAGGCCCAGATCGTTAGGAAGATCGAGCTTGTCCTTCACATCAAGGTTCTCAGCACTTTCAGACTGACCCCTCCCGTTCATCACAAGGGGTTTGGAACAGCCTCTTTAATATTCTGAAATGAAACTCATGGATAATGTAACCCACTTGCGTATGTCATTTTAAAAGATCAGCATAGTGCCCTAACCACAACATAAAAGAGAAACAACAGAAACCTCATCATGGCAATGCTCCGGCCCAACACGCCCGAGAGCACTCAGTGAAGTAGAATCATGGCCAAGTGATGGCAAAGCTCAGGGCTCAAGTGCACGTTTATGTTGCCATCAGAGATGCGACTTCCCCTACTGGTGACCAGCTCTTCATAAAGTCAACAAAACTGTCTGGCCACTTGAGGAACACCACCATGGCCACCCCAGACCAGTCAGTGAGTGGGGAAAGGGTTACACACCCTTGGCATTCACACCAAGATGGAATTTGGCTCTGAGCAAGCAGATTGTTCAGCTACGTGAGAGCTGGGTGGGATGGGGACAACTCTTTTTTGTGAGGGACTGTCCCACCTCCCATCCCTGTCCACTGAATGCCTCTGGGGCCCCCTTCTTTGTGACAACCAAGATCACCACACAGATATCCAAAATATTCCCTGTGGGCGCTACGAACCACTGATGTGGAAAAGAAGGGCTGCAGAGTGTGGTTGGTAAGATGTGAATGGTGAATAGTAAGAATATGGAATTGGCTAATGTTAACTGCACTTACTATGTGCTGGGCACTATGCTAATTCACTATACTCATTAAGTCATTTAATCTGCACAATGACACCATGAGGTAGGTATTAGTATTATACCCATTTTACAGGTGAGAAGATTGAGGTCCAGAGAGGTTAACTCATTTGCCCAAGGCTCACACAGCCAGGGAAGTATGGGCCTGGAATTCAAATGTAGGTCTGTGTGCAAAGAGGGATCCAAAGTTGTGTTTCAGGATGAGCGACCTGGAGGTAGGGCACCTGGGACATGGTGGAGCCAGGCCTTGAACCCAGGGACACCCCTGGCCAAGTGAGCTGGGAGCCACTTGAAAGTGACACCAGGAACTGCAGCCCAGGCTATGCCACTGAGCAAGCAAGGCCTCTCACTGGGTCTCAGTCATTTCATCTGAGATGTGGGACTAATCAGATATTTGTGTCAGAAACTCACCCCAGCTCCACAGGGGTGGGGGCACAATGGGGTCAAGATTCTGAGTTAGACTGGGTTTGCGTCCCAGCCCAGCCCACCCCCAGTGGGCACTGGGTGAGGTACAGATCCAGAGCTGCCTGTCAGCGCCTGCCCCCACAGCTCCCTGAGTCTAACAGAGCATCTGGAGCACGGCTGCCATGCGGGGCCCCTAGCTGAACGCTCCTGTGTAGTTGCTGTTCTTTTGATTGTCGTTGTTTCAAGTGGAATCACTGGGGCCCTGAGGTGAGTGGGAAGCTGCTGTGGGAACCTGGGTAAAATGTGTCCCCTCCAGCAAAGATCTCTGTGAGCCATGGAGTGCGTGTCCCTGGAAGGCTCATGGGCACCCCCACAAGGCCACCCTTAGTCCTGGGGGGCCCTGAATGAATTTCCAGGCCTGGGGAGGGCCCAGCAAGTGAGCGCCCCTCCTGGCCCCCAAGGAACTGAGAGAAGTGTTCGGTCTGGGGTAAGTTTTCCCACAGTCCAGACTCCAACAGGAGTGGTTGCCAGGTCAGCGCCCGAATGTTACTCTGGGCCCTGCTGGGAGGTGGGGGGGCACCCTCGTCTTTCAGATTGCGGGGTCTTCCCGGACCCAGCTGGCCTCAGAAACAGCAGCCTGTGCTCCCGCTGCAGAGAGAAGCCCCAGCCCGAAGAAGGGCCGGAGAGAGCGGCGCCCACGCAAGGACAGGAAGACGGACCGCCAGCTGGACGTGAGGCCCCGCCGGCCGCAGGCCTGAGAGCCCAGGCGGCTGCCGCCCGACCCCCCTCCTCCAGGCCACGTGTTTTCTCCTCACCCTCTTGCCTTCTTGCTGCTGCTGCTGCTTTTTTTCTTTTCCCTTTTATCTTTCTTCCCCTGTTTTCTGTTTTTCATGTCAAGCTGCCTTTCTGCTTTTCTTCCCTTTATTTCCTGTATTTCTTCCATATCTACTTTCCTCTCCATCTTTTCTTCCTGTCCTCCCTCTTCCCCCTTTTCTTCTTTCCTTTTATCTGTCTGGCTTTCTTTTCCTTTCCTCCCATTTTTCTTCCTGTTTATCATTTCTCCATTGTGTCCTCTCTCTCTCTCTCTCTCTCTCTCTCTCTCTCTCTCTCTCAAACACACACACACACACACACACACACACACACACACACACACACTTTGAGAGACCAAATGCCTGTCCTGGCCTCTGCCCCGCCCCCTCTCCCCCTCTTTCTGTCTACTCCTTAAAGAACGTAAATATCTTTTTCTAGGCCTTTCCCTGACCCTGTCCTGACCCCGCCTTTTCAGAGAAGGGGTGGGGCAGGGACACAGCACCGGCCTGCTCCCTAATCCTGGGAGCCCTGCTTCTGCTCCAGTGGGGACCCCTGACCCCAGCTGCCCGTGCCTCCTGCTCTGGCCAACCTCTGGAGGCCTTTCCCACAGCCCTGGGCCACGGCTCCCCCAGGAAGGCTCCGGAAGAGGCTCCTATGGAAGAGCCACAGTGCAGCCTCTGGCGGACAAGCAGCCCTGTGCCTGCCTGTGGCAACGGAGTCCGCCCTCCTGGCAGCTCCTTCAGCGCCCGCCCTCTTCCCGTGGGACTGTGGTCCCCTGTCCTTCAGGGACCCAAGCACTCCATCAGGGGACCTGGGAGCCGGCTCAGCCCACACGAGGCCGTCGAAGCTTAAAGGAACTTGGAGCAAATCCGGTTACTCTGGTCCCCGACCTGGAGCTTTCTGCCCATTGTACCCCTGGGGAAACTGAGGCCTGAGAAGAGAGGGACTTGCCTAAGGCCTCAGGGAACCCAGCGGCTGTGCCTTCCACCCGTTGGCTGCCCTGCTCAGCCCGCCCACAGCTGAGAGGACCTCGGGCCTTAGAGGGGCGATGGAGAACACTGTGGCCAGGAGCAGAAGACGCCCCGTCACCCACACCACCATGAGCGCTGTGTTTCACTGTGATCCCCACACACCAGGCAGGAAGACCAGGGGGGAGTCTCAGGCTAGGCCCAGCTTAGAAGTAGCTTTGCTCGCACTGCTTGTCACTCCACCTCCATGGCACCCCTTCCTGCTTTGTTCCCCGAAACCCCAGCAAGGGGCACTCCCGACGTGCAATGGCATTACTGGCTGGTCTGAACTCAGTGGGCTCAGCAGCTAAGACAGGAAGACTCTGACCCGAGGGGCCCGGGGTGGGACGGGGCACCTGGGGAAGGGGGTGCCAGCAGGCTGGGGCAGGCTAAAGGTGATGAAATACCATCACCCCCCACTCCAAGAGAGTGCCCAGCCTCACGCCTTCCTCCCCGTCCTCCGCTTGGCACAGGGGAACTCCTGACCCCGAAGGCCCACCCTCCCTCTCACCTCCCTAGGGACAGCTAGAGCCCCCCCACCCCCACCCCCGCTCCTCACCTGGCCAAACCACCAGCTTCTATTCTGCAAAAGTTTGTGCTTCTGAAATGCTCTTTGTTGTTTCAAGACCCCAACATTGTTTTTTAATAAAGAGAAAAGAAAAAAGGAACTTGCGAATGCTTCTTGGGCTTGGGTAGCCGAAATGAAACCATATGGGTTGTCTGCCCAGGGCTGAGGGAGCCAGGCTGTGTCCGTGGCGCCTGGGGGCTGGGCTTTGGCCCTCAGACCCCCCCCCCCCCCAGCCCCCCCCCCCCAGGCCCCTCTCAAGAAGGGGATCAGCCAGAAACAGGGGAGAGCACCATGCAACCCCCACCCCCGGTGCCTTGTAGCCTCAGGAACCCCTCTGTGCTCTGAATGACATGTGCCAGGGGCCAGGAAGGTCTGACAGTCCCACAGAGCCATCTAATGCCTGCACTGTTGGTAAGGTGGCCTCAGCACTGGGAGGCATGGGTTCGAGTCCCGGCCTGTCTGCGGTCTGTGGGGCCAAGGCCAAATCATTTCCCTTTTCTGGGCCTGCTTCCCCATTGGAGAGGCGAAGAGAAGATATGACTGGACTTAATCCAGTGCCCAAATCTGGTGGCCCGACAGCATCCTCTGTGCGCTTTGTAAAAATTCCGGTTTCAGGGTCCCACCCAGACTTACTAAATGTGGAGCAGACAACGAGAGCAAGCTCCGCAATGGGTATTCCAGGACACGCTCACCGGGAGGGCAGCTCACCGGGAGGGCAGCTCTCCGGACCGCCAGCTGGGGTCTAAATACTGAGTTTTCTGATAAGATTCTAATGCGAGGATGCTGACGTTTCTAAAATCCACGATTTTTTTAAAAATATATTTTATTGATTTTTTACAGAGAGGAAGGGAGAGAGATAGAGTGTCAGAAACATCGATGAGAGAGAAACATCCATCAGCTGCCTCCAGCACATCTCCTACTGGGGATGTGCCCGCAACCCAGGTACATGCCCTTGACCGGAATCGAACCTGGGTCCTTTCAGTCCGCAGGCCAATGCTCTATCCACTGAGCCAAACCGGTTTGGGCTAAAATCCACGATTTTAAGAGACCCAGAGAGTAGAAGTTTCCCTTCTGGCAATCCCCTGGCCGAGTTCTCTTCCTCCTGGGAACTGGTTTTCTGTCCCCAACTGGGGTCTCTGGTCAAGGTTGTTCCTTACGTTTCAAATTAGAAGATGGATTTTTCAGTGCCTAAGCCTCTCCTGTGCCCTTCGGAGCTCAGACATGGCCTCCCCTCCAGCTCCTAATCCTTTACAATCCCAGCCTCTCCCACATTCTTCTGAGGAGCGAAGCGTTTTGCTGGGAAGGAGAGCTTCCCACGTAATGGCCTCTCACAGGTGAGGCTCAGAGATAAACTCAGAAACTGGCCAGGCCGTGGGCGGAGCCCAGCGGATGGTGCGGCCCCTCCAATGGGAGAGAACAAAGATTTGGCCGGAGCTGGAGGTTTCCTGCCCTTCCCCTTCCTCCCGGATCCAGAGGGGCTGCACCTGGGCCCTCCCGCAGCCGACTCCCCAACCCAACCCCCTGCCTCGCTCGGTCCCCATCCCTGCCTGATGCTGCACCGAGGCCCGGCCTCTCATTCCCACCTCCTGTCACTAGAGGGCGCAGCCCAACCAGAAATAGAGCAACAGCCCTAATTACAACATTTTTCTGAAATAGGAAGCACGTGCTGCTTTTCTCTCCTAGCTAGACCTGGGAAGAGGCAGGGAGGCTGCCTCCTGCCTCAGGCCGGAGGACCAGAGTTGCCGTGGTGACCTGAGTGACATTCAGAGGAAGTCCCAGCCCAGTATCCCGCAGCCAGTACTCATGACTGGCAGTTCCTGGCCTCCTGCTAAGACATCCTGGGACCGGGAGCAGTGTTATACGTCCCCATTTTCACCAATGGGAAAACTTCTAACTATCCTATATGGTCCTGTTCACTCGGGAAATATGCATTCTTATAATAACAAATAACAGTAATCACGACGCCCTGGCCAGTGTAGCTCAGTTGGTTGGGTGTCGTCCCATGCACCCAAAGGTTGCTGGTTCGATTCCTGGTCAGGACATATGCCTGGGTTGTAGGCTTGGTCCCCAGAGGTAGCTGATCAATGTTTCTCTTTCTCTCTCTCCCTCTCCCTCACTCTCGCTCTAAAAATCAATAAAAATACTTGGGGAAATATAGTATTCATGATAATAATGATTAATAATAGCAATGTCTTATATGTATGTGTCAGGCAGTGAAGTGCTTTGGGGGCAGTATTTCATTTCCTTTGCTTTCCTCTCCTCAGTAAAGGTTACAGTAACTCCCATTCGACTCATTTGCTTTAATGTGCGGACATTTTCACACCCTCATCTCCTGCCACCCTCACAAAAACCCTGCAAGCTAACTTATCGAAGAGGAAACTGAGGCTCAAGTGAAAGTCATTCAAAATTCATCAATCTCCATTATCCATCCATTCAATAAATATACCAAAGTGCCTGCCCAGCACTGGGTGACCCAGGCCTGGTCGCTGTAGCTTTCAGTCTGTGGACAAGACAGTTACAAAGGCCTACCTCGAGGACAGACAGGGTCTAGGGGGAGGAACAGCACATCCATCCGCATTTTATAGGCTCAGGGGCTCCTCCTGTAAGACCAGATAACCAGGCTGAGAACGGAAGAATGAGGAGGCATTGGTGGGATCGGGGGAGGGGCCCCGGCTCAGGACACAGCACATGCCACGGCCTGGAGAAGAACTCCTGATGGGGTGCCAACCTCAGAACCCTCCTGGGCTGTCAGAGTCTGGAACACAGGGACTCAGCCCTGGGGACTGCTGGCTCCTCCTCACCCCACACCCGCATCCCCCCACTCCCCCCCATGGGTCCTAGACTCACTTATAGTCTCTCATGAAACCTGCCAGCCACCAGGTGGAATCGGTCCAGGCAGACCTGCAGCTGAAGAAGCCATCTCAGAAGGGAGCCTCCAGTCCCAGCAGCTCCAGCCCCAGGCATAGTCTTCCCAGCTGGGCCCCAGCAGAGAGACCTGGCCCCACTCTGTCCTGTCTGAACCCCTGACCCTCAGGAGCACCATAAAATGGTTGTTGCTTCATGCCTCGAAGGTTGGGGAGGTTTGCTTCCAACGATGGACAACTGGAACAGGGGCTAATAGGGGTCAATAGCAGCACTGCTCTCCTAGGGTAGTGGGGCCGGAAAGCGCTAGACAGCAACGCCACAAGTCCCATCTCCACCTCTGGCCAGCTATGAGCCCTTAGGCAAGATCCTGTACTTCTTTCTGCTCAGTTTCCTCATCTGTGAAAGGGGATAGTGAAGATCCCACATGGTGTCACTGTGAGGTTTAAATAATAAGTTTTTATTACTATACATATTTCATTCATTCATTCAACAACCATATCTTAAGCA